CTTTTGAAATTCCATGGTTGGTTATATGAAAGAAACCCCACTCTCTACAGGCCGTAGAGAGAGCTGAGAGATTGGATGGTGTCAAGGGCTGTGAAATGTCAAAAACAGGAAGATCTAAGGGAGATTCAGACATTATGTGAGAAACTAAGGTAGTTTGTTCTGTTGGAGCCTTAAATAGAAACCAAAATAAGGAATATTAATAGAGAAACAGACAGGTGCTCTCAATGAAAAGGACAAAATAGATGTGAAAACCATTAAGCCAGTAATGCTAATCATAGGTCAAGAAAATGTGGAAACGAATCATCTAAAAGCTTAAATTGTTAGAGAGAGGGGAGAAATATATTTGTTTTAAGTTTTGACTTTGCAGGCCCTTCAAGTGTAGACAAAATTCTGTTTTCATCAAAGGACCGATAAGTGGAATTTTCATATATGGAAATTGACGATATATGAACTCAAGAAATCTACGTGTTTTCATATAATATTGAACCCAACTCATCTAGAAGCTTGAACTGTTAGAGAAGAGACTATTTATGAACTTATTTAAATTCACCGTCTTCAACAGTAAAGACCTATTGCAAAAGTCACTTGGGGAAAAACCTTTATACTACATAAAAAATAGCAGATTGCATGCCTATACAGAGAAGGTTTGACATTGCAGTTGGTCTTTCACACAACTTTTCATCTAAAAACTTAAGCCGGAACGCACCCCCTCACCTGCAGAGTAAATTCATTTTTCACCAAAAGGACTTATACCGATAATCTTCACAAATGAGTAGCTGCCTATTCAAATATCATGTCAAGCCACTTTATCTAACATCTTAAACTATTAGAGAAAAAGCAAGTTTATTTATTTATAATTTGTCAAAGAGGCAGCTGCATAAATTATTACCGCCTTCAAATGCATGCATAAGACATGATTTGCATGCCAATAAAGTCTTTGTCTAAGACAGAGCTCAATAATCTAATGGTTTGACATTGTACTTTGGCATGTTAACAGAATATTTTATCCGAAAAAGAGGAACTCGGTGTAATGAACAGATGGGCAGCAGCAGGCAGGAATAATGGAGCTTTGCTGGTAATTATGCTTTGTCAAATCTATTATGCCTAGGCCCTTGAGTTTTGACTCTTTGGATAGAAGTTTTCTTTATAGAGGTGGAATCTTTTCCTATTTGACCCGAAACATCTGGATATGAGCAAGTTGAAGAGAGCTCTAATAGGCCTTGGAGGCCTGAACTTGCTTATGTAGCAAAAATACAGATATGACTTCTGTATTTGGCACTAAATATTTATGCAAACAGATGAAGTTTGTATCCGCCAGAATTTGAAGCATGCTTAAACATGAATTTCGGGTCATGATGCTTACTTGAATTGATGAATTCCAAGATCTTTGTATGGTTAAATTACCTTGCTTTCCAAGCATCAAATTCTGCATTTCCTAGTAGTTCAATAGTTTTAATCCCGATCATAATGGAAGGAGATTATTATCCACAATCCAGGTGCCAATTTTTTGTGAGTTTTAGAGCCAAATATATGGTTCTAGGCACTTTTCAATTTTTATGTATTTTTCCATACGAATTTTACACATTTTATTGCCATCTTTTCTCTTTCATCATGCAATTCTAACGATTCATTCCAACTCACTTTAATAACTCGTGGGTCGTGTCACTCCATATAGACGATCCACGACCCGTGTTTTCCAACAGTATTAAAGGCTCTTGGCTTCGTAGACTATCGTTGCTAGGGGTTTGGAAGGGGGGGTGGATAATGGGTATTCTATCTTTTCTTAAACTTATTCCAGCAAAGAGGGCAGGGTTCCCCCCAAAACAATAATGGAAATACGTTTTATTGAACCTCAGAGATATATCTCAAGTCAGATAATTATCTAAAATATAGATAAATATATAAGATATTCTACTAATTCTCTTAAAAAAGTTGACATTTTAAGATGGAATCCTAAACTTTTAATATAGGTATTAAAGCTCACAACATTAAGCGCAAACGTAATTTAATCCGATTAAAACTTAAAAATGGACGTATGAGTTTCAAAATTAGTTTGCTTACTTAAATGAGACTATTTTGTGGAGGCATGTTAATGAATAAATCCACATAGAAATATGGATTAAAATATAAGGGCTTACACTATTGACAAATCTTAATATAGTATAAAAACTCATTAAGCTCAAACAACCAATTAAATCTGATTAAGAATTAAAAATGGGCATACAAATTTCAACATTAGGTTGCTGGAACAAGCCATCATTTTGCTGGATATGTTAAAAGATAAATCACAAATCAGACAACTACCAAAAATATAGATCAACATTTAACGACTTAAGTTACTCCTTTTAACAATATTGATTGACATTTGAAGATGGAACGTTAAAATTTCATATAATATTAAAGGTGGAAATTAAATATAGACCTACTTTAAAAGATCCAATTTCAAAAACAAGATGCAATGTTTATTTATAAAAAAATCAGATATTAATTTAAATATTTATAAATTAATATTTTAATATTAATAATAATAGTATAAATTAATCTATATACGTATACCCTACCATAGCTATCCCCATTCAAACCCTAGAATGAAATTTCTCTCTCCTTGCTCCTCTTCATTCTCTCTTTACCAACGTGCGCCACCGCATCTCCTCTCTTCTCCTTTCTCTCTTCACCATCCATCTCTCTACTCTCAGATCGTCGCTGCCGCACGGAGGTAGGGCGGGCTGCAAATCGTGGTCGTTTTCTCCATGTACAGTGGTGATGGGTGGTTGGGTACGGTGCTATGTGCAATGGATTGTTGGGTGCGGTGTATAGAGAGGTGTGACATGGTGACTGAGGCGCCGTATTGGTGTTGATGGTGGTGGCGTCGGATGGAGATAGCTGCGGGATTTGTATTTATTTCACGGTAGTATATGGTTAATGGAAAATGACAATGGTGTTGCGTTATGGTGGTGGTGACATTTTCAGATTGGTTTGTGGATGTCGTGGGCTGTTAATGATGCCACGGGGAGGTGGTGATTCTGTACGCAGTGGTGGTGGGATAGGGGGGTAATGGTGTGGCGGTTATTTACGGTGTGGTGTATTGGCGGCAGAAGTGGTGGTTGTAGTAGATTGGGGTTAGGTAGGGCGCTACGGCGATGGTGGTGGTGGGATGGAGTTAGGGTAGGGTGCGATGGTGGAGTGGTTTGTGACCAATATTTTGAATGATTGTGACCAATAAGTAATATGTGATCGATAAAATGTGACAAATAAGTAATATGTGATCGACAAAATATATGATTGATGAAATATGTGACCAATAAATTGTGACCTGTAAATATGTAATTGTGATAATAAAAAATAATTTGTGACATAAAAATTCAAATTTGTCAGACTGTAATCGAAAAATAACATGTAACTATCTAAAACGTCAATTTGTGACCAAAGTACATAAATCTGTGACTTTAATATATTTAATTAATAAAATATATAATTAGTTAATTAAATCATAAATTAAATTTAATAAATATCTGATTTTTGAAATTTGAAATTTTTATTCTTAGTTTTGAAATGATAGATATTTATTTTCTCAGTTATGAGATTTTCCCATATTAAAGTTCATTAAAATCAAATGAGTAATTTGATCCAATTAAGATACAAAAATGAGTACATGAGTTTTAAGATTGATATACTCAAACGAGTCAATATCTTATGTGAACATGTTAATAAATAAATTATATATAGCTAATTATCAATATATAAGGCATTAAATTATTCCTCTTTAAAATGTTAATCTTTTCAAATGGAATTTCAAATATTAATAAAACCAAATAGTTTGAGTACGACAATAAACATATTTTTAATAGAGTTTTGTTTAATGTACATCGAGATTCTTTACAATCCCCCTCACAAGAGGGGGGTTCACAATTTTTTTTATTGGATGCGGAGCTCCCCCCTTTTGTGAGGGAGTTGTACACCGAGCTGTCATAACTTGACAACTTAGTGTACAACCATCAAAATCATTTTTGACATGCTAAGTGATGTGGAGATAAAAGAGAGTCCAGTTTGATGAAAGAGCGGAATTGAAAAGTCAACTGAGTTGACTTCTTTGTAGGAATTTTGCAGGGGTGGTTTTCAAACTATTTAACATTAGTTAGCAATGCCAAAGATTGATCTTTTAGAAATTGTGGAAAAGTAACCCATAGGGTTCGTAATCGAAGTTTGTAGTTGGCTGACTACTGACAATAGAGGAACATAACTACTGAACTCCAAAAAATAATAATAATAATAAATAATAAAATAATAAAAACATATTCTATATATATATATATATAATTTCCAACTTGCTGTACTTTGGAGTGCCAGAGCACTTATTTTAAAAGAAAAATGCTAAACTTTCTTTGACATTGTGTGTTGTCAAAATCTGTGCCATTAATTGTTGCAGTGTTGTTGAAATTAATAATGAAAATGTGTGCACCTCACAGTGTGAAAAAACCTATAATCCAAAGTGTAGATGTAGCGGAACTGTATTTAAAATTTAAATGTTTTACAATCAATTCACGGTAACTGTCTTCTTCAAAGTCTTTTGCAGATAATATCCAAGAATACATGACCATAAGAACATTGAACAATCGAATAAAAGAATGATGCATGGATGCATTTTTAAGGATTGCGTAGGCTAAGTTACCACATCAATCGGATTCGAGTGGTTTTTTCAGCGTCATGTGACCAGACTCATCCTTGTCAAAAAGACGCTCAATCAGTTCATCCCAGTTATCTCGAGTCTTACTTTTCGTCGATGATCCTGTAGAAGAACCTGTTGAAATTTCAGGGTCTTCATTTTTAGCGAAGGTTCCATATTGAGAAGGCGAAAAGGCGTGAGGAACAGCCAGCATGACTGCCCTTCGCAAAGCTGCGTTGTACTCTTCGCCATGCTCTTTGGCTAAAGTTTCCTGCCGCTCCATCCTCTGTTTTGGTGGAATCTCCACGCTATGATCTTTCTCGAGCATCAACTGCATCATGGGCAATAGGCCATTTCAAATTTCTGGGGCAAAGGATTTCTGAATGACATGCACTTTCATGTGTTGAGGTTCATGTATGCTGGAGGAAAATACATAGAGACATAAATAAACACACCCGCGCACACATGCCCACGCACATGAATCCTTCTGCAATATTTTGCTATGTTAGTGTGCCACTAGTAGGAGATGCCACATAAACACGTGTGCGCATGTCTGTCTATTTATGACTTATGTAGCGTATTACCTAGACAGTAACGTTGTGGGAAATGGCAACATGTTACACGAAAACTAGTGGGGCTGGAGTACAGTAAGGTATCCGTTGCCCGTAGGTTCATTTTGAGAATTATATAACCTAATTCAATTACATCGACAGCAATCGATTCAAAGAAAGAAAAAACACTCAAGAAAACGCAAGATTTATAAATGTTCGTCTCAATGTGAGACTTCATCCTCTCCCAGTACTACAGTAATTCACTATGATAAAAAAAATGTTTATAAGAGAAAATCGCACTTCTGTATTTTTTAGCATCTCTCTTTCTTATTGATGATAAAAAAAAAGCCTTAGGACGGTTCCTTTTTTATAAGATAATTAGGACAAAACCGAATTTTACGAGGACTCCATTTTCTTAATATAATTTTATAAGAGTACAAATTCCTAAACAATTCTTAATGAAATTTTAGTTCGGGGAACGGATACCCCTCAGAGGTCCCCTTCTACCCCCCACGGGTGACCTCACCACGGAGATCGATCTGCGACCAGCTCTGCGAAGTGACAAGAATTAGGATCGATAATAATTAGGCTCCACAACTTAACAGTTCAAACTACGACTTGAGTTACATAGGCATGCATTTAATGGGAATCACTAACTCAAAGAAAATTTGACTTTTTTGAACCAGTTTTGAGTAAAATGATAAGGAGTTTAGCGATAGGTCCGAAGAGAATTATGGCATATTTCAATGCAAACTTGGAAGAAAAAATATATCATTTGGGTTATGAGAGTTCTGGGAAGAATGGATTCATTGAAGTAATGTGTGCCATTTTTAAGAGCACAAGGCTAAAATCTCTAATTTGCCAACGAGAAATCTATGTTCTGAAACATCAAATCTAGATATACAAACATTTCCACAGACATGCTGGAAAACAAAATTTGACATATAAAAACCAATATTTATTAACAAATTAACTAAAATATTAACAGTAATATTTCTTCGAAAATTGTCTTTAACCTTGAGTTACTACAACAGAAAAATAAACTTACTTGGAGAGCTTTCCGTGCTTCTCTCTCTATGCAAAAGATGGCATGATCAGAAGTGGCATTGCAAGACAATACTATATGTTCAAATCTGCCATCGACAGGGACTGCCGTCCTCACAACTGGTGGAAATCTTCCGCATCTGTGTTTAAGAGTGGATATATTATCCAGAGTGATAAATGCTTGATATGAATGAAAAATGTCTGCAAGAGTCAGGACTTGAACATTGAGTTTAAAGGAATTATAGAATTTGATTAGGGTTCTATGATGTAAGGGACACGGATGAAAATATTTCAGAATATGATGAACTTGTACAATTACACTTGGTAGGAAGGAACTAAAGACAACAAATTGCTATAAGTTGCCATGTCATGTTGTTGCTTCAAGATTTATCTGTGGTACAAACAATTTCTTTCAAATAACCCAATTATTTTATATAAACATTCACGTAAAATTGTCAAACTGCATTTTAGTTAGTCAACCTGAAAGGTTTACGCTCAACAATGTGATAGAGGCGACCTGGAGCATACAGCCTCCTTGGATCTTTGAGCATTTTCTCCTCTGATATGCATGTATCTCTCATGCATCTTAAACATAATAAGCAAGGCAAACTGTACAAAATGTAAATGCATAAAGAACGAGGCTCAATAGTAGCAGTAAAACAAGCTAAAGATTGGAGTAGGACCAGCCAACCCTTTACCAGAAAAGCGACTTGAAGATGTCTTCCAAAGGGGTCGCTGTACGAGGTAAGAAGTCGTCCTGTCAGTAAAAATGCAGCCTGTTAAAAATGGCGATTATATACCCATACCATATTTCAAATATATCCTTGCATATGGAAGCAACAGCTGCTGGGATACACAGTCATTATAAACAACAAAAGAGTGACTAAAGCAAATATTTTTCTAATATTTTTTACAAATATGATATCCACTTAAATAGTTAAGTAAAGATTATTTGTTTAAACGCAGTGACCATATAAAGCCACATAAAAAATGATTGCTGAACTTTTTGATTATCTTTGTTTAAGGGGTAAAAATCCACTTAAGTCTGCAGATCCACTCATAAATGTCAAATAAATGGCACATGCTACAGAGAAGAGCGATATGAACTTGCTAGAAAATGTATAAGGGTGATTAAATATTGAATTTTTTATATCACTTTGCACATTTGCAAGCTTCTTGATTGAACTAGCTAGAAAGAATTATGCTCTTGTAATGTTGTTCTGGAAAAAAATATGATTCGGAGGTCCTTGAGCTAAACACGACATCTTCTACGTAAGAAATATGAAAAGTGAACTCATGAAAAATGTTAGTCATTTAACTTCCGTATCTAAAACAGAATGCAAAATTAGATAGATGACCTGTGCATTGAAGAAGAAAAATCAAGAAAATATCTCAACACGAAAAGCCCTCGTTAATATCCAGTAGTTACCAAATGTTGTATTTTACAATACATAAAAGTATATAAGTTTACACTATTGAACCCAATCCTTCCAGATGACACACAAAAAAAGGGATGCAAGTAATGTGTAGGACTTGCCTGAAGAACAATAGAGTTGATGACATCAGCATATCTTACAGCCAAATTGAGTGACATGCATCTGGCAGGTGCAATAGCATAACACCTGATCCTCTTCCTATCAATGTTAGCCAGTTTATCACGATTCTGAAGAACCACCATTGTCAATAATGCAGCCACACCCGACCCTAGAGAATGTCCTGTAAAAGTCACTGTATAATTTGGATATTTCTCTACCAATTCCTTCAAATCATCACATTCTGCATTCAAAACACAACCTGCTGCTTTTAACAGCCCATTGTGAACATAACCCCCATCGAATTTCCTTTTCCCCAGCTTATTATCAAGTAAAACTGCATAATCACTCTCCTTTGCCAGATTAAGTCCTCTAATAGCAAGAACAATGTCGGCATGGCCATGATCAACGTACAATAAATAAGGGGGGACTCTTCCATTTGTGTCCTTGTAACTTCTTTTCGTAATTATCCAATCAGCATTAATTCCGTACCCTTCAGGAGGCTCCCAAAGAGGGTGTCTGAGATCATCCTCTTTGACAGCCAGTATGTAACGGCAAAGCCTGGGAACAGGTTCAAATTCTTCAGGTGTGGCAAGGCTCCATGTCTTACTATCGTGGTCTGCGCTGTGGAGACACCTTTTCCATGCCCACCGAGCACAAGCCAAACAGTATACACACTCAAGGATGGGAAGGGGAAGGCCACAGATAATTGACATCAGCTTCTAATGTTCAGTGGAGCTTTTTAACATCGATGAAAGGCTTTGATAGATTTAGTTTATATCAGATCACACGAAGATGGAGTATTTATTAATGCTGGAAAGAACAAAAATGAATTAAAGGTGCGGTTGTATAACCTGACCTTCTGAAATATAAAAAATAAAATAGGAAATTAGACAAGTGTAGAAGACTCAGAGCTAAGGATTAGACATCCTTCCTTATATTTTGTGCGCCTTCATCACACTTGAGTTGTAATCTCGAAGAAGAAATCAAACAGGAGAATAAAGGCTGGAATTTATGATGAGATTGAAGTATAATGCCACTAGTGGAATTCAGGAGTATAAATCACTTGGATCAAAATTTAACAGAATTAAATACCCAAATTTGTACAAATATCATTTAATATCTTCAAATTTGAAAAGAAAACCATAGTAAAAGAGCTTAAATATATATTATATCTACAGCGTTCGCAAAACCGACTTTATTCCAACCCAAAAAACTTTTAATTATGTGGTGGAGAATAAACAAGCAGCATATAAATTATAACATACAAATAGCTACAAATTACCAATGGGCAACTGAATTGAACAAACGATGGTCAACTATTTATACAGCAAGAAAAGTAACTCAAGTACCGTATTGATCGAAGAAATGAGGATCCATCAAAACTGAGGAAGAATTTATGGGTTGAAAAAATGATATCAGCAGCTTTTGTGCTTGTTTTGAGGCATCAAACAAGAAAATAAAGAGGCTGATCGAAACGAGTTCTGCTCCCATAGTAGCAATGGCAGGCTGTGCCAATTAATCATTGCCGATTTCTGTGAGAACCTCAGATCGCTCAAGTCAACTGAAACTAGCCACTCAGCCAACCGCGGGATTGTACTATGGAAAAATAAATAAAATATGTTTATTACAACTGGCTACGAGACATCAGGGATGTTGATCGGCTTCGTGCTCGAGCCACCCCTTGGCTCGGAGCCTCCGAGCCAAGGCTCAGGCCGAGCCCCATATCGGGAAAGTTGGCTCGAGCCGACCCAGCCTTGTGGGTCGACACTCGACAGGCCCTTAAATAAAAATAAATAAAAAAATAGTAAAAAATTTGCTGCCCAAACCCCAAAGCGGCAGTGCAGGGGGGAATACATGGAAATAGTCTAAACAAAGAGGCCATTTTTTCAAAATGACATTGACCAATTTTATCATATCAATATACCTAAAATATCCCTCCTTTTGAATATTGCATAACAAGCTAATATAATATAGAAATTCTGCATTTTAGTCCTTAAAATTAAATATTACTTGATAGATTTATTGTTTATAGATTTTTTTATTTTTTTTATTTATTTAGTTTTTGTTCGCTCTAAGTAGTCCCCTAATGGTATCAGAGCCATGGAGATCATGGAAATTAAAATAAGAAAAATAGATAATTATTATAAATTAGAAGAAGGAAAAGGAAGTTATATATTTTTAAAACATATTTCAAATTACCCAAGTATGTATATATATATATATATATGAAAAAATTATTAATATATATAAAGATGAAGAAATTAATTTATATTACAAAGAGTATGAGTGCAAGTGATAATATAAATTTAAAATTAAATAAATTACTTATAAAAATGAAAAAATACAAGAAAAATACGAGATATAATATTAATACTAGAAGGAATAAGAGTATCAAATAAAAGACAATTAATAAAATTAAAATGTGAAAGATTAAGACTTGAGAGTAAATATTTCAGTACAGTAAAAGAAGAATTAATAGATTCAGATATAGCCAACTGAAGATTTGGAAAAATAATATATAAAAGATGTAAATTAACTTATATGTTAGAGAGATGATTTTAATATGTCAATAAGTGAGTATATGGAAGAATTAAAGTCATTAATAAAAATGTTAATAAATGATATAAAAGATTTAAGAAATGAAGTAAGAGAAACAATAAATGATATAAATATATTAAAAATTTAAATTAGAGAAATAAAAGAAAATAATAAAAATAAAGAAAAGAAAATAGATAAAAAATTAATAGAAAAAGAAATGACTCGAATAGGAAATAAATATATTGAGAAAGAGAGTGTAATAATAGAAACAGGAAGTATGAATGATAAACTTAGAAAAAATATACTACCAAAAATATTAGAAGAATAAAAATCTAGAGAAAAAATATTATGAAAATTAAAAATAGAAGAAAAAGAAGATAAAGATGAATAAGCAATTAGACTTACTTCTAGAAAATTTTGATCAATCAAGTTTAAGTGATATAAGTGAATATCAAGTTTTAATAAATATTGGAGGAGGACGTAATCTAATAAGAACTTTTAAATAAGAATTATAAGATTTAGATGAAAGTTATGCACATATATATAATAAATTATATAGACAATTTTATGATAAAGTAAGAGATAGACAACCACCTAAAGAAAATAAATATAAAGACGGGTTTGAATTAAATGATAATTATGATAAACCTATTAATCATGATGGAACAAAATTAGATTTAAATTGCAAAATAGATACTCAAAAAACCTTATTAACTTTGGCAGATTCAATGATATTATTCTTCTTATATAATAAAGATGACACGTGGAAAAATATTGAAAGAATGATAGATTTCTTAATAGCATCATTTGAACGAGATGTTAGAAATTTGTGTGAATGAATAAGTAATGATACAAAAATATTAATAAAAAGAAATGTACAAATAAAAATAATAAAATCAGATAGACAAAGTATAGAAAAATTAGTATAATATATTTTAGATGAGTTTTTATGAGAAAATTAGATAAAAAAAATGCTGAAAGAGAAGAAATAAGAGAAAAAGATAATGTTATAATTAAATAATAAATTTAATAATATGTGATATGTGTAAAATCAAATAATATACTTTTAAATTTAGAAATTATTATTATGCTTAATTTTATAGTAATGATAATCAAGAAGTATACCAAGATATGTATTATAATAAATTACCAGATTTATGGGGAATATATTTTAAAATAAAATATATTAGAGATAATGTTGGAATACCTAGGACTTTAGGTTCAAAAATAAAATCTTTATTTGAAAACCTGTGTATATATGTCAACAAAGACAATTAATAAAAAAATCAGGAAAACTAACTAGAATATATTGTGAAGATATGAAAAATCTTATACAGTGGGGATGTAATCCTAAAAGAAGGGTTAATAGAAGAAAATATAAAAAATTTAAATTTAAAAAATTTAGAAATTTTAATAAAAAATATATAAAACGTAGAAGAAGATATTATAAAAGAAATAATATGACATATGGTCAAAAGAAAAAAAAAGTTATAAGAAAAATAAAAATCAATGTAAATATTGGAATTGTGGAGAAATATGTCATATAAGTCTTGATTGTGATAAAAAGAAAGTTAAAATATTACAAAAAGAATATTTGCAAATAAAAAATGAATTGAGTGAAATATCAGACATTGAAGAATATTATAATCAAGAAGTTTATATAAGTGAAATAGAGGATGATGAATCACTGAATAAGAAAATAGAAAGTGATAATATAAATATAAAATAATATGAAGGAATAGAATGATATGAATTAAAAGGTGCATTTGATAACAATAAATTTAGAAAATTACAAAAATTATCTTTAGATTTAAAAATAGGAAAATGGGAAGTCTTAGATAGAATTTGGAAAAGAGAAATGATAACAATAAATGAATATCACAAAATAGAGAAAATCATAGATGTAAGAACAATATATTAACAACATAAATTAAATCTTTTAACAAAAAATTTGGTTGAAGAACTATTAACAAAGGTTCGTAAAAAATAAAGTGAAAAAATCCAATATATTTATTTAGAAAGAATACAAATAATATTTAAATCATTATTTAGAGAAGGAATAGACCCACATTTAACCATAACCTTACGTGATGGAAGAATAATAAATTTAAAAGATAGTCATTTAGGAACAATAGAATAAAATCTAGCATATAAAAATAATAATATTTACATGTTACCCAAAATATTGTGTATCATTGAAAGATAGAAACTTTAATGAAGTTTTAGGATTGCATTTTAAATTGCATAGAGATGATATCATGCAACCAGGTGATCAAATTATGACTATAAAATATAGAGCTTTATATACATTTATCAATTCTAATTATGGAAACATTTATTCCAATAAACTTTATATTGAAATATATAAAGAATGTAAGGATATTAGTAAAATAATAGAACCAAATAAACAAATAAGTTTAATTCCGAAAGAATATAAATTTAGTATAATAAGAAATAAACATGAAATAACAGAATCAAATGGAGAAGAATGTTCTAATAATATAACATTTAAGGATGGAAATTTAATCAAAAGATCAAAAAGTCTTATAATACCTAATAAAAACCTGTTAGAAGAATTTAATGATATAAAAGAAGTAAAACTATATAAGAATGCTAGAAATATAAAAATAGAAGGAGAATATTATAATGGAAGAGAAAATATAAATGAACCAAATATATTAATAGATACATGAGCTAGTGAATGTCATATAACTTCAATCGAAAATAAAGGATTAATAACCATAAAATAGATCCATAGAGTTATGTAAATTTTGATGGGACAAGTACATATTACAGATTTGGAAGTCAAGGTATCGATAAAAATATGAGGAATATATCTTTTAGTACCATGTTATATAAATAAAAGTATAGATATAAACTCCAATATACTTTTAGGAATGCGTTTTCTAAATGGATTAGAAGATTATAGTATAAAAAGAAAAAAAATTATATATAGTTCATAATGGACAAACTATATTATGTAAAAAGAACTAAATGAATAATTAGACGAGTTTTTCATTAGCTGTATATATACAAATCATTATTATAAAAATAAATATAATAACTGGTGCTTTAATAGACACAGAAAGTGATATAACAATATTTAAAAGTTTTTTTATAAAATCATGGAATAATAATAGTAATATAAAAATAACTGGAGTCACAGGAGAAAGTATCCAGATAATTAATAGTGTCGATAAAGTTAGTGTAATTTTTGGAAGTAAACAAGTTACAATAAATAAAATTTATAAATATAATAAATTAAAGTGTGATATATTATTAGAAAATGACTTTATACAACAATTTCAATATTATAAATAAAATAATTATATGATAATGCTACAAATATATTGTGGACATTTATTAAAAATTTCAAGAGAATTTAGACCTTACAAAGTTCAACCAGCCCAGCGCGGTGATAAATGGGAGAAAAAATCAATCATATTTAATGAAATAAAAAAATAAAAAAATATTGTATAAAAAAGTTTTAAAAAGGGGAATAGAAATAAGTATAGAAAAAATTATCGAACAATTAGAAAAAGTTTATGGAGAAAATTCATTATTATTTTGGAAACCACATCACCCTAAAAACAAAATAGAATTGACAGAAAATACTATAATAAGAGTCAGATCATTAATGTATACGATAGAAGATACACAATAATTTAAAAATCATATAAAAGAATTGTTAGAACAGAAACTTATAATACCAAGTAATGGATCTCATAATAGTCCAGCCTTTATGGTTATGAAACATTCTGAACAAGTGAAAGGAAAAGTTAGAATGATTATAAATTATAAATAAATAAATAAATATATTAAATTTGATGGATATTTTTTACCAAATAAAGAAGTTTTAATAAACCTTGCAAAATGAAAACAATATTATTCTAAATTTGATTGTAAATCGGGTTTTTGGCAAATAAAAATGGAAGAAGATAGTATACAATATACTACATTTAGTATACCTCAGGGAAATATATGAATGGTTAGTAATGTCATTTGGATTAAAAAATGCACAACAAATATATCAAAAAAAATGTATAATTTATTTAATAAATTTAATAAATTCCTAATTGTTTATATAGATAACATTTTGATATGTTTTAATAGTAAAGAAAAACATAGGAATCATTTAATCCAATTTATAAATGAATATAAAAAAGAAGGAATTGTACTTTCTAAAAAAAAATCTAAAATAGAAAAACAAGTAATAGATTTTCTTGAATTATCAATAGATAAAAGTGGAATAAAATTGCAAACCCATGTATATAAAAAGATAGAAAAATTTTCAGATAAATTAGAATCTAAAGAACAAATACAAAATTTTTTAAGATGTTTAAATTATGCAGAAGGATTTATTGAAAATCTTCATAAGAAAATACATAAAATAAAAGTTTTAGTTAGAAAAATAAATACTAAAGTATAGAATGAAGAACATTTAGAAATAGTTAAATCATTAAAAGAAGAATGTAAAAATTTACCAAAATTAAGATTACTAGATGAAAAATGATAATTTGATTGTTAATACCGATGCCTCAGATAAATGTTGGGCAGCAATATTAAAAACAGATTTAAATGCGATTTGTAAATATTCAAGTGGAACTTTTAATCAAATAGAAATAAATTATACCACTCATGAGAAATAATTACTAGTAATTAGTAGATGAATAAAAAAAATTCATTATTCTTATTATCCAATAAATTTACTGTTGAGATTGATAATTCTCAAGTTGCAGGATTAGTGAGGAATAGATTACCATTAGAACCTCAATACAGAAGGCTCCATAGATAGCAAGTTTATTTAACATTTTTATAATTTTGATATAGTTCATATTAAAGGAGTTAATAATTTCATTGCAGACTTTCTTGACAGAAACATATAATTTGTTGATAGATAAAGCTAAGGTCATTGAGTTATACCAATCTATCCTACATATACAGAAAATGATAGATTTTCTTAAAAAAAATATGAAGATATAAATACTGTTACAACACAGATCTCAGAGATGTTTAACTCAAATATAAAAATATTGTTGAATATCACTACTGAGCATTATAAAGAGACCATATAACTCAAAAATCAAATTGATGCTATTGCAGCACAACTAAAAGATTTACTATCTAAGACAGATACACCAAAGAGCTCAAAAATGAGTTTTTCAAATCAATACCAAACAGGGATAGCTGGAAGCAGCAGTTGACCCAAACACGACAATATACCAATTGATAAAAAAGGAGATTCCACTTAGTATCATCAACCAAAAAAAAAAATGATGATACATGGAAATAAAAGAGATTCTAAAACAATTAGCATTATAGACCAAGAAGATAAAATCCCCTTAGATTCAAAAGAAGAAAAATATGCTGAAATAGTCAGAATTGCTTACGAAATAAAAATTAGTGATTCATATTTTATCTCACCTAGAAATAATGTGTATCCTAGGATAACAACTATGGAAGGAAGAGACCAATCATTTATAAAAATTATGGCAGACTACGGATTTATAAATTTGATATATCTAGGAAAAGATTTGATAGAAATTTCGAAATTTGATGATATATTCATAAAAGAATTATCCAAATTTGCCAAAGGACAAAAAATTTATATAAAATTTTACTCAGTAAGTCCTGAATACGATGGAGTTGTTTATTATCCAGTTGAACATTTAATATCAATTGGGTATGTAGCAGCTAACTTCCAAATAGATGTGATGGAAACTGATAGAAAAATTTCAACAGTGACAAAATCATGGATCAGACATAGAAAAACACTTGGAATTAAAGTCATATATAACATTGCCAAAAATTTGTTTGACAAAAAATTTTCATACTTGTGCCAATATGAAAACTGGATGCTAGTATCAAATCAAGTACATGAAAAATCAGAATTATTGAAGGATTATATTACAAGATTCGAAATATATCAATTTTCAAAATGTCCTACAACTATAAAAAATTTTTGCCAGCTAAGGGAGTGACCCCAACTGCATGTGAAAAACGAAGACAATAATAAAGCACCTTTGACACAGTTATATGGAGAATAATAATACAACTGCATGTAAAGACATAGAAGATAAATAACAATAATAGAGAAAGATGCTCTTTGGATAAAAAGTTAAAGAAGCATGTGAAAATGTAGGCCCAAAGAGAAAAATAATAGAGAGACAAGTGTGCCTTTGCTGATATACTCAATGATGTAATAGAGTCTCATAAACTTGTATAAATAGAGACATTGTAATACATAGAAATCATTTTGAAATCAAAGTATTTTCTCTCAAATTGTAAGCTCGATTTGTAGTAGAGAATCAACATTTCTAAAATCAGTTTTTTTTTGGAAATCCCTTTGTACCAAATAGAAGTCTTGTATAAATTCTAATCGGAATAAAATTTCAATATTTTGATATTAATATGAGTTTCCAAATCTTTATTCCCATAAATTCTCGAAAGATCAAATATAAATTTTCCTTCTTATTTTAGCAAAAAGAGAGTTTTTCTTTAACAGAAGTCTAGAATTTTATTCTTTAAAATTGATACAGCGAGAGCAAGAAGCTAAAATAGTAAAGGTTCCATGAAGGCAGGAGGCCGTTGAAGGAAACAGTTTACATATTTAGAGCTCAAAGGTCACTCGGTTCTAAGAATAAAGATTCAGATCATACCTAAGTTAAAACCATTAAATTTTTGCTAAAATTAGATGAATCTTTTTAGATTTTAGAGAATCAAAGAGATTAATTGTATGATTTGATTAAATGCCAGGATATACAATTGAAAGATTAGACAATCTATTAGAAATGATGTTAGAAGAAATAAAAGATACTATTTCTCAATTAAAAAATATATATTTACCATTTGAAGAATATAGTATTTTAATTAGAAAATATGAACAATATGTTGTAGATTATTCATATTTATTAGATCATAGAATGAATTTATATTCAAAAATTCGAAATAGAATATAGATTGGGATATATTGAGCAATATAAGAAGAATTATATCATTAAGGGTAAAACAGATTTTTTAATGAAACTAAATAATAACGGGCCAATTAAATAAATCTCCCCAGCTGCAGTCCGACAGCAAACTTGCTGCCTGTTGGGGTAGCTAAGAGGAGAGAAATTTACAAAAAATAAAAAATAAAAAAATCTAGAAAATCGAGCAGGCCGAGCCGGGCTAGTAAGACCCGAAAGCTCGGGTCGATTCGAGCAAAAAAAACCTCGACTCATTGACACCCCTACGAGACAATGGCAAACTGGCAAGGGATTGTGATTTTGATATTATTTCTAATCTAAAAAATAATTAAAAACAAATAAAAGGAGAGATGCCAAAATGTTACGTCCCATCTATCTGTCACGATCTGGTCCTAGGACAAAAATAGGGAACATGATCATGTTGTTCGACCATGTCCAAAAATTGGAACATAAATGGAGAACATGATTCACCTCCGAACCCTTCAAAACTCTTATTTATTTATTTTAAATTATTTATTTTGCGTTTATTCTCTAGATCATATTTACAAGGGGGTCCTTAATTGATATTTTAATGAATTTTAAAAAATCCTTCTAAATTAAGGAGTTCTCAATTGAGATTTTATCAAAATTTATTAAAATCTAGGTGTTATCAACACGTTTTAAAGAAATTTTTTAAAATTTAGACATCTTAAATAATTTGTGAACTTATAAGGATTTCATTTTTCGATAGTGATTATGAGAATTGATTTTTTGACCGTTAAAGAAAAAGTAGGTCTACCTATGAGTAAAGAATTCAAAAATAATTAAAAAATTGATTTTTTGATTTGAAAAATGGCCAACAAGCGAGGGCTTGGTCTTTTGAAAATGTCGTGGAGGGATCTGGATCTAAATGTTTGCAGACCTAAACGTTCTATTACCCAAAGGTTTGGGAATTTTTTCAAATATTTCTCTGTGCAACCAGTGTCATGACAATTTTACCCTTACTTCAAAATCCCGGCTTAGATATAAATTGCTTAACGCAATAGAACCCTAGTTCCTCTCCTGTACTCCGCCTCTTTTTTGCAGTAACAATCAGATTGAAGAAAAGGTTAGATCAGAACGCCATTTGCACGATTCATATGTAGATCAATAGATGTGTATACATACATGGCTTATATACAGATTCGACAATATTTCTGCTTTAAATATTCTTTAATGCATGAGCGTGCACATCGTATATAATCTGCGATTTTGAAAATGATCAAAAAAATGTTTGATAATCAATTTTGTGTTTCTTATTCGGAATCTTTGCTACTTGAGGGAACGTATTTCTGCTTGTTCGCAGTATAAATATACCGTGCTAGTTATGTTGATTTGCTTGAAATGGTACATGGTATAAATTCTTCGGTGCAGTTTTTTATGAAAAGCTAGGTTGTATGGAATTCTGAAAAAATGAGTAGGATATGAGGCGTTTTATAACAAATTATATTTTATGGTTAGAATAATATAATAATTTAACATTTAGTCGATATTACATTGTCAAATTGCAATTCTAAAATGCAAGTTGACATTAATTAAATATGAGAAAGAATAGAATGACTCAATAAAAAATTTAAATTGATGCTTTATGGCATCTAAGAGAAGATTTTTCATATGTTGTTGCAAAAAAAAGTCCCAATTACATGTTAATTGTTTTGATGGAAAGGTTAAACCCACAATGGAGTCCATGATTCTGGTTTATTTGTTTATTCACATTTTCTTAAGTTTTTGTGAAGTTTCATATAAGCTTCTGAAGAATTTCTTAGAGTATCTAAAGATTTTTTATTTTGAAACGTCTCTATAGCGCTAGCCTTTTGGAGTTTCTTTCTGTGCATCATAGATATGAAGTATACAAAAGACTGATGCATATATGATTTTTGTCATTGCTAGTTAGCAGGTAATGGCTCCAAAGCAGCCAAAAACTGGCTTATTTGTGGGTTTGAACAAGGGCCACATAGTGACTAGCAAGGAGTTAGCTCCACGTCCATCCGCTAGGAAAGGCGTAAGTATTATCTATGCTTTTTTGCTAGTTTGATTTGATAGTTCTATGACTTTTCTTCTTGGTGTTTTCTATAATTTTATTGCCAGTTTAATTTGATAGTTCTGATTTTTTGCCTCGTAAATTTGATTTCATTTTGTCGTCTAGTTTTTATACTATTTTTTTTAATACATCGAGCTCCTGTCTCTTGAATTACTTGAATAGCCTTTGTTTGCCAATTAACCCCTTCTTTGAAATTGAATTTTTCAAAATCACTTTTTACCCACTCATTTCAGCCATATATTGATAAAATAACATTTTCCCATAACTTTCCCTTACTTTTTAACCATGCCTTCTAAAATAATCACTTTCTGCAAAATCACTTTTCGAAGTATCGGCTTCTTATTATAATCTGTTTATAAACTGCCAAACATGCTTTAAAGCTGGAAATATGGTCAGTTGAACTTAGCTTTTATTCATAACTATTTCCCCTCAAAGGGTTTTATTGCTCGATTTTATTAATCAACAGTCTTGGAAAATTATGTAATATAGTTTGTTAATCGAGGAAAAGATCATTTCAGTTGAAAGAAAAACCTGCTATAGAAAAATACAATAAAAAATGGACAGACTATTTTTCTCTTCTTAATATTACAAGGTTTGATTCGATCTTTTTGAACACTGTTTATAACTCAATATTCTATTTTCTAATAAGTGAAATGGCAACTCTTATCCATCTGTATTCAAAATTTGGTAATTGTAATTCTGTTTTCCTTCTATCTTTTTTTGGGTTTCTCACTCCGTTTATTCCCACAGAAAACAAGCAAGAGAGTGCACTTTGCAAGGAGTCTTATAAGGGAAGTTGCTGGATTTGCACCATATGAGAAGAGAATTACTGAGCTTCTTAAAGTTGGAAAGGACAAGCGAGCTTTGAAGGTAGCTAAGAGAAAGTTGGGCACTCACAAGAGGGCAAAGAAGAAGAGAGAGGAGATGTCAAGCGTACTGCGTAAGATGAGGTAATTTCCCGGGATGACATTACATGCTTTTTTTCTTTTCATTAGAAGATAATCACGCTAGTGCTATATTTACATTCTCCATCCAATTGAAACTTTAATAATTTATAAATTTATACTCAAATAGAATTGGGTTTTTCATTTTTCTCTATATAATTGGAATCTGGTCACAAGTGCAACTAGTTGGATATTAATTTTTAATAGCCAGTTGCTTATGTTATTTTTGCAATTTGATGCAGGGCTGCTGGAGGTGGTCATGAGAAGAAGAAGTGAAGTGTCAGGATTTTTGTTTTGGGACCAAAATCTTACATTAATATGTGGTTTATTTGATACATTTTCATTTACACCTGCACTGTAATTTTTTTTTTGTTTCTATTTTAGAGATAAAAATCGTGCTCTGGAACTTCGGTGTTTTGGCATCGACATTTATTTGAATTGCATTAACATATCACCATGTTACTAGTGAGACTTCATTTTTGGTTCTTGACCCATCAAATTCAAGTGAAATCATGGCCTGATGGCCTAGGTAATTTTCCAGTTATTTTTATTCTGAAAAAGCTTGTTTGCTTTGTGAATAACAAGGTTGACAGGTGGTACGCAAGTGTCTGTATCTGGTGCAGTTATAAGTGTGTTTAAGAATTATAGTGCATGTCCCAGTGAGTCCTGGGCATAGTAATGTGTTCAAAATCATTGCTAGAGAAATGCTTGAAGGAGCGATTTCAAATTGCAAGCCCATTATGGTTTCTGTCGGATGGACTGAGCGTCAAAATGGGATGAAAAAGATGGAAATGTAGGGCTTTAAAGCCCAATATTTTAGTAAGCGGAAAAGAAGCAGCAATGAGTAATGAGTGTGCTTAGATACGTGGAGAGCGAATATTTATTGAGAAGCCCATGTTATATGAACAAAGATTTGAAGTCTGTCACCAGAAATCTTTATACAAAAATGAGTAAAAGAATCCACGCTAGGGTACCATATCATTGTAGGAAAATTACACGTATGATCAGATAAATTTATGGGAAATGCTAGAAAAGCTTCATGAGAGAATGGATTTATGGAATGAAGACTGTATAATTTGGGGTCATTACTGAAATTCAAGATTAAATGGATTTATAGATCACAGATTGAAGATGGAGTGCTATTTTAAATCCAATCAATTTCAACAAAATCAACCATAAAATTCGACAAATCGATTAACTTTCCACGTTTTTCAAGCATTTTTTAAATGGTCGTTTCCAAAATATCTCTGAGGTAATATGACGGCAAATTCATCGTATTTCATAGGATTCACCCACACCTATGAAATAGGAACGCGATGGACTGAATCAAAGTCTATATATTTTTATATATGATTCGTATACACGACAAGACATGCAAATTGACAAAAATGGTTTTGACAAATTGGGCAATAAGAATGAAATTGGTTTAGTAATGGGTAAAACATTGCGGCCATCTCGTCATGTTACACACCATTAAAAAAAATGGTCCAGCCTCAAAGAAAATGACAAAAATTTAAAATTTTTTTTGGGGTGCAAATCACGATTTATGAGAAAAAAAGGACAATAAATTTTGAGTCATGTCGCATGAATACGTTTTAATCATTTAATTCCTTTTGCCATGTATGCATACGTATTGTGCCGTGCAAGTGGCTATATTGGAAATGAAACTACGTATTTTATTTTATTTTTTCAGTTCAAATCATGCTCCAAGCATGTATGTTTGTATCGTGTTGTATCGTATAAATGTGTCTATCTTAGAAATGGATGTATATTTAAATCTTGTTTTTGAGATTATAATCGTGTGAAAATCAGTTTCTTCATTTTGTTGTTTTTGCTCTAAAATTGGTAGACAGTGGTAAAAGAGAAAAATAGCTTAAAGATAGTGTCTGTGTAGAGATGTAAAGGTGAGTTGAGCTATGTAGAGACCCAACTTGACTATTAAAGCTTCACCTTGGTCAAATTATTTTTCGGTTTCACATTGCACTCAGCAAATTTACAGTTGTCATTAATGAACAATTGAATTCTTATTCATCTGTCAATATGATTTTAAAATAAATTTTATATTTATAGAAATATTCATAATCTCTTTTGCGTTTCTTTTTTCTTTCAGATACTTTGCTATCATTTACTTCATGCCTTTGTTTTCGTAAAATGGCTTTGATCTAATGCCCGCGATGGGCCATGGGTTACAATTCCCACCGTGGACGTGGGTCAAGCAACAAGCAGAGGGGCAAAGAATTTGTCTCTATACAGAATCGGCCCCTTCTGGCCTTTGCTTGTTTACTTTCATCTACTTTGTCAGTTTTGATCAGTGACGCCGAAAACCCTCTCCTACATTCATTTGTTGTGTAATCATTAGGGAGAACCGAATTAGTCAGGGATATGGCTCAACTACTTAAGAATGTAAAGACAATTAATATCACTACGATCGGACATTATAACCCATGTCTACCGTTGACATTAGATCATTTCTATTTCGTAAAACTCTATGCGTTTATAAATTCCTTTTTCATATTGTCCATTAGTGTGCACTTGATATGCCAATGAACATTACCCAAAAAGAGGAGGAATTAGTGGCCAAATATCAAACAAACAAGAATGGATCTGAAAGGTGAATCATCATAAATATCACCTTTTTCTCATTGGCACATTATATTGATTATTTGTTGTCATAAGTTTTTCTTTTGAAAAAGTCATTCGAGCAACTTTTCGTCTTTATATATAACTGTAATTCGTTTAGCCCATATTTGATTGAGATTAAAATTTTGATTTTAATTTAAGTCAAAATCAATAATTAAATTTAATCACATATTTTAAGAAACTCGCAATTCACACATTATATAAATTTTTATCAAAATTTACTAAAAAATATTATTCTTAGATAGCCCTAAACAGGGGCCTAGTTTACTCCCTTTGTTCGGAATAAAAAGTAATCGCTTTATGCTATTAAAATAATTAATTTACTTATTTTTATCTTTCACTTAAATATATAAATTTTGATTTTGTAAATTATTTACTTTCAATTTTTACGGTAAAAAGAATATGTTGAATTTGAAAATGACATATTTACATATAAGTAGATTTTTCAAGCTTAGCCAGCCAAACTCTTAGACAACTGAGGCACTTTCTTTAATTGCAAAATTAAGAACTACTGCTTATTTTATTTTTTCTTTTTTTGCATGGCCGGTTGGTTTTCATTATTAAATAAAGTGAGAAACTATTCCTGATAGCCATTAAATTAAAATTCTCTTTTTTTTCTAAACTCAATTTCAATCATAAATATTTTGTATGTAAATTCAATTTTTTTCCCTACTTTTTAATCACATATTTTTCAAAAAATCGCTATTTAAGAATTCCTTTTTTTCCCGATACATTGGTGTTACCATCTTGGATTGTAACATCGAAAGTAAAACTTTTTACCTTTTTTATATTTTAAATTCTGAAAAAGCATAAGACCAACCAACCGACCATTATATAATGACAAAGTCAAGTTCTTCCTCGCATATAGATGAAGAATTCATTCGTTACGTGGCTCTTCGACGTGCCAAAGTACAATTTTATTTTGGTCATGTTAAAATTTAAATTGAGCTAGGTCAAAAGAGATAATATAGTAAATCAATTAGCAAAATCATACTATGTAGGAAGCATATTTGTAAGATGGTATTGTTCCGAAGATCATTTTTATCGAATGCCGCGTTTGGTGCAAATTATTCGAATTAAAATTAATGTTGATATCTATCTTCCCTTGGTCCCAACGGCGTAACGAAGCTAATGATAAAATAACAACTAGCTGCATACCACGAATGTGACGAATAATAGAAACGAGTTGAATTGAAATAAAATATATATATATTTAAAAATAAGTCTATAATAATTTTTTAATAAATAAAATTGAAGATAAGTTCCTTATGTTGACGGTAACATATTACTTTTAAAAAGAAAATTTTAATTAAAAGTAAAAAAATCTATCCAAACATAGTTTGTAGACCAAAAGTAAATATCTAAATCTACTTGTAAGTAAATAAATAATTTTTTTGTTTACCAATATATTATTATATTTGAAAGAACTTATATTTTCCTTCGTATTGAGAATAAAAATTAATTCTAAAACCTTATTTATTCATAGGAACTGAGCTTTCGGGTATTAAGGTAGTCAGTCTATGTTCACATATGTGAAAGGCGATATGAGTAGACAATAAAAAAATGGTAGACGGGATGAGCACGGTCAAATTCAACCATATTCACCGAATTGAATACTAATGGTAATCTTACATATAGAATCAATCTGAATCGATTGAATCTAATTCAATCAAGTAGTTATATTCGGTGCTTTTTTGATAAAATTTTATTACATTTTCAACTGATCAAACCTAAATTTTAACTATACATTTTGTAGAATTTACAAATTTTATTAACTTTTCTATCACACATTTCATTAAAATATGCTAAAACCTTTATTAAAAGTTCTGTCAAACAATCCCTTAAATCTTAATGTAGAGACTTGAAACATCGTTATTATCTATGAAATAATAAGTAAAGGCTAATTATCAATGGTTAAAAAGTTTCAAGAAAATGTGTTTTAGACTAAGAAAAAATGAATTAATGGTTGACTACTATTGGTTTTTCCAACTTATTTTGTGCAAATCAATATTGACTATCTCAGTCGTATCTTGATATTATAATATCATAATTATAAAAGGGAAGAAGCTTCATTAATCTTGATGTATGTATATATATATATATATATTCAAAAATGGATAATTAGCACAAAACGTCTTTACCTTTCATTTTTTGACATTTTTGCTCTCATTTCAACTTTTGGTTGCACAAAACATCATTTTCCCTATTTTTGAATGGAAAATGACTATTATACCCTCTTATTTAAAACAAAAAACCAAAACAGAAAATAAAAATAAGGCACAAATTGCAATCATGTTCCCAAACGTTTTGAAAAATATAAATCAATCCAATAAATTATAAAAATTAAAAAAATCATCTCTTTCTTCTCTCCTCCGGCCACCTTGAGCGCCAGACCAACATACCACCATGAAGCCCTCAAGACATATTTAAACAAGAAATGCAATTTCTTGTACAAGTAGCAAGCCAACTAAATTCCATTCTTTATTTTCAGTCCCATAGATTTTTGCTAATTTTCTCTCACTAAGACCTCGTTTGGTACACATTAATGTAAAAATGAGAATGAAAAATATAGTCGTTACGGATCCCACACAAGAGATAAAAAGTCAAATATGGTGATTTGATGTGATGAATAACGGTCATATTTTCATTTTAATGGACAAATAGTGGGCAACAAACGGGGGCTAAATCATTGTACAAGAAATGTAGCAACCTCAATTTCCTAGATCTGATGACCTTTATACGAAATCCGATCGTGAGAGCACGAATTTAGCATCATGTATAGTGGCTATAGTTTTCTTGCTGTCAATTCTCACCGGTGCAGTCGCGTTTACTTCCT